TCTCTCTTTGAGGCCCAGCCACCAACAAATGAATCCCTTTTAAAGAAACCCACAGAAGATTGGACCAACTCGGAAAGGCCGGGAGCACCCTCTATGGGCCACAGAGCTGAAGCGCAGCAGAGAATTCTGGGTTCAGGGAAGCTGTCAAGTCTTAAAGGGCTTCTGGGAGGAAGGAAAATAGGCTGCTGGTTTACGTGACTAAGTGACTAACCAATTGTTCCAAATGCTCCAATGAGCACCTATTAACGCTGGTGAAGATGTGCCGGAAACAACAGCCACAGTTCCCGCCTCCCGCAGAGACCTGCTCTCCCCCAAGGCACCGAGTTTCCAGTTCGCTCTGCATCTAGACAGAAGAATCCTGAACATTCACAAGGGCACAGCAGGCCTCTTCCTTTCTCACTTCTACTTTTCTATCTGTAAATATCCACCCCCGTATTTTCTAATTAAAACAAAAGCTTTTGAAAGCAGAAGTTTAATTACAATCTAAGACAACCCAAAATTCCATAGGAAACAAAGTCGAGGTGCCGCCCCCAGTCAGCCTCCGGAAGCATCTCTGGGGACTTTTGTGTCCAGGTTCTTTATTCACATCCCTCGGGGGACCGTGGCCCCCAAAGATCTCCTCCTAATTCCCAGAGCCAAGGGAGGTGGGCACTCTGTAACTCAAAAGAGAAGTAAACTGATCAGCCATAGGTCACCCAAGGGAACACAGCCCTGGTTCTTAGCCCCCACGGGACCCATTCTGGACTCCTGACCTCAAGTACTATATGGTAACAAATTGTTGCTGCTCTAAGCCAGGAGGGGTGTGGTCACTCCTCGCAGCAACCACAGGGAAACGATGCAGCCCACACCCTTCCCTCCCCATGACAAGGGATGGGCCACCATGACTTAAGTGCAGATAGGATATGTTGGTATCTTGGGGAACCCTGTAGTGATGGCTTCCTAGGAAAATAAATTGTCACCGTGCAATCCCACTGCACCCTCTAATTTCAAAATAATGCATTCTGTGCTTTCAAAAGTCAGTGGTACCAAGCATCCATCTGGCTAGGCACCGAAGCACACGCTAAAACACAAGGAGTCTCCTGCTTGCAACACAGCATAGAAAGAAACACTAGCGATCTGGAGCAGGCTGGGTCATGGGAAAGCTTCCAAGGGTTCTAACAACAAGGTGATCTCCCTGACCAGGTCTGTCTGCAAATGAAGGCGAACTGCTGAAGGCCAGCAGAGATGTCACGATGGCGCTGACTCTGAACCAGCATCCGCCTCCTAAGCTCCATTGAGCTGTGTAACCATGAGCTCTGAAACTGTGTGGCCTTTCTACCTTGCAACTTATAAAATTTCCATAAAACTTATGCATGATCTTCCTCCCCGCTGTGCTAGGAATTATACTAGTTTAAAAGCGAATTAGTTTATAATGGAGATGGAGCTCAGGGGGTGTGTCTGCCTAGCATGTGTTTGATACCCAGCGACAGACAGAAATAATTAGATAGACACTTACTGATTTATTTTTTAAAAATAACCACAGAACTGGAAAGATGGTTCGGCCATTAAGAGAGATTACTACTCTTGCAGACCGTGGTTTGATTCCCAGCACCTACATGGTGGCTCACACCATCTGTAACTCTAGTTCCGGGGGAATCTAATGCTTTTGTTCTGGTTTCCACAGGCACCAAGCACTCGCATACACATATGCAGACAAACACTCGTACACATAGAAAATTTTAATCAAAAAGTGTTTAAATAACTATACAAAAGTCTTCCATGTTGACACAGAGCAAAGTTTCAAAAGAATAACTATGTTTCCCTAACTGAGAAGGCAACAGAAGGGCACCGGCCCTTGTATTTCGGCAAATCACCTTAACAGAAGGTGGTTAGACTGCTATGCTGTCTACTCGTTCAGTCCCCTGTGATATGCTGCTTTTTGGCTGAAGAGAATCTGGCCTCCTACAGATGTGGGGCGGGGGAGTGCTTCCAGAGCCTTTGTGGACAACTTTGGAAAATATTTCAAACTACACTGAGCACCCCATGGAGCTTCCCTAAGGGTTGATTGCACTGTAGAATCTGAAACTACGGGAGGAATTTTTCTCATTTTTTGTAGACTAAAAATGCATCCCTCTAGAACAGGGTGGTACCTCCGTGACACAGCATTTACCTGGCAAGCACAAGGCCCCGTGTTCAATTCTCAACATGACAAATTATTACAGGGGTGAAAGATTCAAAGTTCAAGATAGGCAATAGATCGTGTGTGTGTGTGTGTGTGTGCGTGCGCGCGCGCGTGCTTGTGTGCTCACATGTACTCTGGCATGTGCACACATGATTGCACACTTGCACGTGGAGGTCAGAACATGACATCAGGAAGTCTGTTCTCACTTTGTACCTCACTGGGGCAGAGTCTCTCCTGGTTCTGCTGCTGTGCCGTGCACTGTGCCAGCTGATTCACACCTGTGAGTGGTTCCCAGGGATCCTCCCATCTCGCTACAGTAGTGCTGGCATTGTGGACGCAAGCCACCACATTGGGCCCCTGTGTGATACTTTGTATGATAGCCATTTGGGCTTGGCATGCCATATCAAGTAACATTTTAGAAATCACACTCATCCCATATTGCTATTAAAACCACATTCACCCACGTCGCCACTGTCCTGAGAAAGGTTTCTAACACAGGGAAGCACCTGCCTACCAGAGAGGCAGCTTAGCTACATTCAAATTTTAACTTAAAAACTCAAGTTGTTTCACTGACAGGAAATACTTGTGACTACTTTGCTAGAAGCAGCAAGCCCATTTTGTTCATTTTTGGAGAAAAAAATTGTGCTACAGCTACCTAAGCCAGTAACTACAGTTTGTCTGTAGCCAGTTTTTTTAAGTAAATACTGATCCTACTTAGAAAGCAAGTTACTCAACTGCCCCGCAAAGTCACACTGGTGTTCCTGCGTGGGGTCAGAGTTAGTACTCCTGCTAAAAATGATACCAAGGATATTCCTCATTTAAACTGGCACATTCATTCTCTCTCTCTCTCTCTCTCTCTCTCTCTCTCTCTCTCTCTCTCTCTCTCTCCTCCCCCCTCCACAAAGGCCTGAAAAATTCAATGTTGTTAGTGTTTTCGGTATCCCTGTCTTGCCTTATTATCGGCTACCATTTATTACACCGGGCCAGCTTTTGCACCATCAATGCAAAAAAGAGGCAAAGAGCTTTGAGAATAAGTTTGAACTTGAAGATTAATTGAAAAGATTTTTCGCTTTAAATAAAAATCACCCCTTAGCCACCCCTGGATGCTCACTGTAAAGGCATGCATGGTTTCAGGAAAATGTGTCCTAAGACTGGGGAGCAACACCCTCCCCCTTATTTTAATGTTTACATAGTAGCTATTGTAGTAATGGGTGTTGTGGGGGAGGGGCATCACTGGCTGCCTTTGTTTTATTTTCGTCCATCCTAAATCTCGGGGCTCATTGGGAGCTTTGGTGTGTGCTGCAAGCAAAACCCCTGTAGCGCTATAATGGTCTGCTACGTCAGCATAGCTCCCGGTAATTTGCCTTACAGAGATGCTGGACCCGAAAGAGGAGGGATGGGACCTGCAGCAACCGCTTGCAGGAAGCATGAATTAAGTCTGCCCGTGGTCTTCCCCATCAGACACAAATCCAGGCAGCTGCTGCAACTGTGAATGGCAAGACAGACAGGAAGGCTCCTCAAGGAGCCCATGGAATAAATTACATGATTTCTTCCCGAGCACAGGAGCCATCTGCAGGCTGCTATGCCCACTTCTTCCCTCGGCTAATTGAACTTAAGTATGGTAAATAGGCACTCTGAGACGCGCTTGTCTTCTTTGTCCATTTCTAGTCTGGTCATCGTTTTCCTGCAAATCCCACATCAACACAGTAGAGAGAAGTGCCAACAAGCCTTCCAGTTCCAACATTCCACAGTGCAGTGACTTGCAGAGCGGAGTGCATTCTTAGGAGTGGCCGACAACACTGTAGAACCCTTGAGGGTCACAAACAGCTCTGACTCCCCGCGCACCAGCAGAACCCATCCTACAGGTGACCGTGGAAACAGACAGGAAGCGATTCCACTTTCGGATAGCTTTCTCTAACAAAAACTCTTTCAGCGTTCAGCGTTCAGAAAACTTAGAAAGAGAGAAGCCATGCGACTGTAGGTGGGGAGGCTGGAAAACTAGAATAGGTTTACTCTGTCAGGCATTGTGTAAAATATGAAATGGATACTTGCCTTAAGATCATGAACAGGAGAGAAAAGACCCCTACCTCCTATAGGACCCTTTTATGATAAAGGAACTCGGTATCAGGTTACATGGCATCCAGTGCCGCCAAGCAATAGTCATGATAGAGCTACCAAAGAGGTCACAGACCTGTATCACTATCCTTGTGGGGAGAACAAAACAGGCACCAGCATACAAAGCAAGAAGCCCTTGTTGGAAAAGAAACTTTAAATTTTTTTCAGCCCTGCTGGGACAGAAAAAAAAAAAGTCTGTTTCTTAAGTTCCTACAAATTTATGACATAAATAAAATCACAGTTCTGAGTGTGGAAATGCATGTGCAAAGTGCAAACCAAGACACCAAGGGCATAGGAAGGAAAATCAAGTACAAGACTGTTTCTTTCTCCACAACTGAGAGCCAGCCAAGCCTCATTGCTTGCAAAGCAAGTGTCCAGCCAGGCTGCAGCCTGAGCTTAGGAGAGGGTGATGTTCTCCGGAACTCATTTACTGTCCTGGTCCCTATCCCTATCCCTCCTCCAAAGACAAATGTTTTCTTTCAGCTGCAAAATCCCCAAGCCTGACGCTCAGAGTTTCCTTAGACCCTGCCACTCTGCTTCCCTTTGGGCTCTCCAGTGACCCTATCCTACCTCGAGACAGGTGAACAAGATGACAGACGATGACCAACCACACCCCCAGGGAGAGTCTGACCAAAGAAAGTGCCCCCCCGCCCCCCATCTACCTCCTTCCCCTGCGCGATGCCCAAAGTCCCTTTTCCTTTCCTTTGCCTAGATCTCCAGGGCACCTAGACAAGTTCCAGTCTCCTGATTCCTGGACGTTCCAGGACGCCGTTGAAGGCACCCCAGTTTTTTCGTGCTGTAGGTGTCCCGAAGCCCATCTCCCGCGCGCAGAGTGTCTAGTGTCCATACCCAGCGAGCCCTGATTCGACCCACGAGGACGCACAGGTTAGTGACAAGACAGGCACGGAGGCTACACAGAATCAGAGCGGGGCAGTTGTCCCCAAAGTGACAAGCGGGCGGGAAGAGAAAAAGACAGTCGACCGACCGCAGAGTCCCGCATGTGCGTACCTGGGGGCCCCGCAGAGGAGACCACGGGGAGCAGCGCCGCCAAGAGCAGCAACGCCGCCCAGGGCAGCGGGCGCGGGAACGCCCCGGCCTCAGGGGCCATCGGGAGCCCGGGATGCGCGGGTACCGAGCGCGGGTGGCCGGCAGGATGCGGGCCGGAGTGACGGGGGCGCAGAGGCAATGCCGTCGGGTGCCCGTCGCCGGGCGTCCTGGGTCCTGTGCGAGCGACGTTGCAGCCCCTCGGTGATTGCTCCTGGCCACGCACAGCCGCGGCACTCCGCCACTGGGGCCACCCGCTGCCCGCTGCGTCTTTTAGCCGCGCTCGGGCGCCCCCTGTCGGTGCGCTCGCGAAGGGGTCCCACAAGGCGGGCGGGGCGCCGAGTGAGTGACCCGAGTCTGGGAGACCCGGAACCCCACTGGGTTTTTGTAAAATTAAAAAAAAAATGGAGATATAATTTTAAAAGATAGTCTGTAGATCAGGAAAAAAGTGACAGGGAAGTCCCTCTCTGTCTAATTCTTCTACTTTCTGGCCCAAAAAGTGACTGACAAGATGGGACGTGAACTTGTCCTTTAAACCCCTTATCCCCACTGTGTGGTTTCAACTTGCGGGACCAAGCTAGGACCCGTCACCCTTTTCTGCACGTGGCAGTGGTCTGCGGGCTCGCAGTTTCCTTCCCGCTCAGCCAGAGCGCTTGGGAAAGGGTGATCAACTGTGCTAGACAGGGCTGCTCCTGGCTGTCATTTCGCTGGAGCGCGTGATTCCAGTTGAAACGGAAGCAGGCCTTAAGCAAGCCACATAAACCCAGCCAAGAACTTATTTGACCTCCCTTTCTGTAATTCAAACACTGCCTTGGGGTCCCGCTGTGCGGGATAACAGCCTGGGTTTGCTCCACACCGGTCCTGAGACACAAGCGGAATTGGAGCGCCCCTGGAGGCGACAAAAATGAGAGCTTGGGAAGCAGAGTGTGGCTCTCTGCAAACCAACCCGATGCGGAACATGGCATGGGCTCGCCGACGTGGCAACCCCAAACTTGACGGGACCCGTTTCACTCTGCAAGACGGAAAGCGCGTTAAACAAAGTGCGGGGTGATGGCAACAAAACACGGAATCCTATTCTGAAAGAAAATGACAGAATCAAGACACCCGTGCGCTGAGCCCAGGCTGGCATCTCTTGCCTGACTACAGCCTTGAGTGAAGTCTCCACGGTCCCCAAAGAGAAGAGGGCTCTCCAGCGACTTCCTCTTTAGTGCTTAGGAACATTCTACTGTAAACAGACGCTCTTGCCCCACCCCTTGGGGCTCTAGCTTCCCCACGTGCCAGTTAGTAGCACGCTGGCTCCTGTCACTGCCAGCATGGTCTTCTTTCAGGAGTTCAGGTTCCCTCCCTAAACTCCCCACACTTTCTCAACTGTTAGTTTCAAGCCGACTGACCTACAGCTCCTGCGGCTCTTGCTGGTCAGTCAGAAGTGGGAGAGAATCTTTCTAGGCGGAGCTGGTGGGAGACCGTTCTCTTCCTCATTGCCCCACGGGAGGTGTAGGGTAGTGCCATGGTGTACTGAAATGCAGTCCTAAAATGTATGTCTTTCCTCATCACTGGAGCCTGTGAGCCATGCGTGCCTTTGGGGGTAAGGATTGTGACTGAATTTAGCATTCTGAGATAGAGTGCTTAGGCTATGAATGTCGCATGTATGTTTATAAAGAGGGGAGAGGGACTTGATCTACATATAAGGGAAGACATGTGTCCACATACTGTGGGGTATGACAATAGGGGTAATTCAAAGTCAAAAGGAATTCCCACAGAAAGCCACCAAACGGAGGAGGGGGCAGGGAACTGGAGGGGGGAGGGGGCAGGGAACTGGAGGGGGGAGGGGGCAGGGAACTGGAGGGGGGAGGGGGCAGGGAACTGGAGGAGGGGGAGGCTGGGCTCAGAACTCTGAGCAGGAGACAGACCAGAAACAGGTCCTCATAACCCAGGGAAGATTAAAGAACCATTCTGCCTTCATTTTAGAATTAAAAGCCAAGGTATAGTAAAGACAAACTGGGTTTTGATTAAGCCTGTCTCTCAAGGATTGGGCTATGCCCGACCTGAAGCCTTAGCTACAATGGTTCTCTACTGCCTGATCCAGGAATGGCAGCCATGCCTGTGCTTCAAAAAGTTACAACCCTAACTTTGTTTCCAAAGCTGGTATCAGCACCTGTGGCCACCTTTTCCTGACCACCTGTTATGCTCTTTATCTGTGACCCTACCCCTGTCTTCCTCACATCCAGAGCTGACTTCCCCAACCCCATCTTAAGGGGAGGCAGCCTGTTTACAAAAATTTAAAAAGCTTGCTTTAATTAATTGCTTGTTTTAATTAATTTGGCCATGTTGGTTTGGGTCAGCGGTCTTTCTCCTCCCATCTTTGGGGCTAACAAAGAGCAGGGCACACAGCAACAGCAGCAGGGCATGAGAACTAGAGACACCCCAGGATCACCTTGAAAGGACGGTTCTAGAACTGACCCGCAGGCTGTGGAGAAAACAGACAGTCGCACAGTAATGCCATCCTCGGCCTGGCCAGTGGGACTTCTGTGATTCCAAGACTTTACTCCTCAGTTTAGACTCAATGAAATTATCAACACAGCAAAATGTGCAGTAACTCAGCAGACAGCATGTTCCCTCTTTCAGTGTGAGACACACATTTATTTCCTACCCCAGAAGGTGGCTTGTTAGAGTAACCGTCTCGTGGGGACTATTCAGACAGCACAGGACAAATCAACTTCCAGTGTCAGACTTCTGGCAGTCAAATCAGAAGACAGCCAAGGGCTGTGGACACTCAGTGAAGTTACCAACATTTACAAGTCCTGGTTCCAATTCAATACAAAATTGACCCAAATGTGATGGTTCACACACTTAATCCCAGCACCTGGAAGGCAGACGCAGGTGAATCACTATGAGTTGGAGTCCAGCTTGATCTGCGTAGTGAGACCCTGTCTCAAAAAAAATACAATGTATATATAATTTTAAAGTCTTAAAGGAGATTTCTAAAGTATCATAACTTTAAGATAAGTGTGTGTGTCCATGTGTCTGTGTGTCTGTGTGTGTGTATCTGTGTGTGTGTTTGTTGTCTCTGTGTGTCTCTCTTTGTAGGAGGTCTTTCTGTCCATGTGTTACTTTCATTGGTTAATGAATAAAGAAACTGCCTTGGCCTAGTCGATAGGGCAGAACTTAGGTAGGCAGGGAAGACAGAACTGAACTCTGGGAGGAAAAAAGGCGGAGTAGGAGAGAGACACCATGGAGCCACCAGAGACAGACGTGATGAATCTTTCCCGGTAAGCCACTGCCACGTGGTGATATACAGATGAATAGAAATGGGTTAAATCAAGAAGTGAGAGTTAGCCAATAAGAGGCTAGAGCTAATGGGCCAAGCAGTGACTTAATTAATACAATTTCTGTGTGGTTATTTCGAGTGTAAGCTAGCCAGGTGGCTGAGAAGAACAAATGGCTCCTTCCCTTACAACATCTCTGTGTGTCTGTGTGTGCATCTGTGTGTGTCTGTGTGTGTACATGTGTGTATGTTCTGTGTGCCTCTGTGTGTGCACGTGTGTGTGTGTGTATGTGTGTGTGTGTGTGTGTGTGTGTGTGTGTAGGCCAGAGATTGACATCACTGTCTTCCCCAGTCACTCACTACCACTTTTTTTGAGACAGGGTCTCTCACAGAATGCAGAGCTGACTACTTTGGCTGGACTGGCTGGGCAGTGAGCCCAGAGAGTCTCCTGTCTCCACTTCCCCGGTGCTGGGATTACAGGCTAATGTTACCACAGCTGCATTTTCATGGGTCCTGCAGATCAGAACTAGTCCTCGTGTTTACACGGAAGCCTCTTACCAACTGAGCCCCTCTCTGCATCCCAGCTTTTAGGTTCAAAGCAGACAAGGGAGACATTAAACGGACGTCAGTCACTGCCGTCCCTCCTGCGCGTGACCCTCTCACAAATATAGGCATGCTAACATTTTCCTTGTTTGTTTTCGAGACCGGGTCTCATTTTTTTCCAGGATGGCCACAAGTGTGTCACAAGGTGAAGACGGCCTTGAACTCTTCCTACCACTATCTCCCAAGTGCTGGGACTACAGGTGTGTGTCACCACCACACACTTTAGCTAGGGTTAAAATACAGGGCTCCCTGTGTGCCTGGATACACTCTACCACCTACCTCCAACCCGGCCTCTTTTTAATCATTATTTCTTTAGTTAACATTCAAAGTAATGTTTCTCAACATGGAGTTCTCCTATACATATTTTGTTCATATTTGTGTCATATAGAGATACATATATGTGTATACACACATCTGCATGTGCACACACACACATACACACCTTGTTGTGATTTGCCCTGCCCCCACAGCTAGTTCCCACAGCTGTTCTTTCTGCTTTGATTTTGAGTGCGCACAACCAATGCTGCCCTAACACATTTTACTGCCTTCCCACACACTTTCTTCACCTCCTGATTGTGGCTTTGATTTAAGTCGTCAAAATAAAACAAAGCCTGGGCTTAGTGGCACAGGACTAAAATTTCAGCAGTTGGGAACTGGAGGCAAGAGGATCATGAATGAGTTTGAGGCCATCCTTGGCTACATGAGATCCTGCATCCAATAAATAATAAAGGAAGGAAGGAAGGAAGGAAGGGAGGGAGGGAGGGAGGGAGGGAGGGAGGGAGGGAGGGAGGAGGAAAACGGAGATCTCTCTGTGGTTCTGTAGATCCCCTGGTATCTGACCCCTGCCAACCACCTCCAGCTCCAGTCCATGGTTTATTCCCAGCCTCACGCATCAGGCTGTGTCCACATACACTGTCTCTGGTCCTAGTTATGTTTTAAATAACCATGCATCAGAAGAGTTCAGCACTCTCCC